CTGGAATACAATCCATCACTAAAGAGCTAGCACTTAAAATTCTTAGCATTCTGGAGACCATGTGTACCTGAGCACTGAGCTCGTTTCCATTTAGTAGTTCACTCTCGAAGGACTTCCCATAATCCTCCTTTTTCCCCTCAATTTTGTTTTGTAAGTGTAGTGTTATATCTGCTCTCAGACACATTTCATCATCGTGTTTGCTCCTTTCGAGACACTCTGGGGAGAAATAAGGAGTATGGGAATTGAAAAGAGGTTTTGGAACTATTGCCTTATATAATATTGTGGAACACTACTTCGTGAACTAATTGATATATGCTGAGTCGTTCTCACTACTTTGAGTGGCTACTGTGGTAACCACAGACAGAGGCATACTTGCTGGTGGCAAGTAGGTATAATTAGAGGCTTTTGGTTTGGATATAAGCGGTAATCTCTTTCCACTATGTATATCTATCTTCTGTATGTTCACTCGTAGCATTGTCTTCGCTGCCCCAACCACCATCTCATTGAATTTTGCCTGTTGATCTTCAACTCCACATGGCAACAGACATAAATCATCCTCGAAATTTAGATATTCCTGAATGTTTCTAGAGATCCGACCTACCCCTATTTTTCCTTTTCTAATGACTTAGCGCATGATTCAGTGCACCGCAATCAGAATATCATACTTGGCAGTAGGCGACCTTGTCTCACTCCTCTATTTATGAAAAGCCAGTGGGTTACCTCTACAGTAGACGATAGTTCTCCATGTGAAGCCAAGGTTTTTCATCAAAAAGAAGTAACCATCGGTACTTGGACACTGACGGTACTAGATTCGCAGCTAAGTTCCTGCAGCGACCCTATCAGGAAAACCTGGCTGCAGGTGTAGTCTCTCGCAAGATGCAAGGCAAAGCTACTACACCGGTCGCATTGTCCCCCAAAAAGATAGGAGAATATGTTTGTCATAAAGCAGGAATGCTAACTGCAGCAGATTTGTTTCAACAATAGGTTGACCGTTTTCCAAAAAGTGAAAGAATAGAAAGAGTCAGACGCCAAATTACTGGCCTAAAGCTGACTCCACAGTAACTCGTTCGGCTCTTTTTTCAAATTCACAATAAATACGGAAACGGGGGAATACGTGATTTTGAGCAATGCCATCACTCCCAAAGAATCGCGCACCTAAGTCCGTAAAGATTTATGCCTCTAACCGGTTTTCAAAAGATATCCCATAGAACTGAAACTGAGTAGACGGCACTAAAACGATAGAGCATTCACCTTTCTAAAAGTTTTCGACTGGTGGATCTTCGAAGTAAGATGACCCTCAAACCGCTATGGGTGGAACTCAAAATCATTAAATTGAACTAAAAGTTTGCTATGATATGTGCTGAAACGGGAGGTTGAGCTAGGCAGTCTGGTTGATTCGTTTTTCACCGCACTACTTAATCGTGACTTACACCTGAAATCTGGGACAGTAAAGCTGATCTCCGAAAATTCACACTTCAGATTAAAACGGATGAAACGACAAATCTATTTCACCATAGCACACTGCAGTCCTGGTATCATTGCAGAAGACTTTCTTACGGAAAAGCTCAGCTTATGGACGCTGAATTGTCGGTCCCGTATAGTTAGCGATACGTAGACCCCACTGGTTCACCTGAAAAATCTTACGGTATTGTTCCTAGATATCTCCTACTATAAGTCAGGAAATTGTTCCACCCCACTGTCTCTAGTCCAGCACATCAAGAAACCAGTTCATGTATAAATTGCAAAGTTAATTCAAACAAATATATGCAAATCCGCTTCAGTTCTACTATTCATTGACTCTTCTCAAGCACAGAAAATATTACCTCTTTATGGATAAACGGAGAAATTCCTAGACGTTTTTGTAGTTAATACTAGTTATGGAACGTGTTCATCACCTTTAAGGATCCAGCGGCCGGGGGGCTATACATTACAACTAGATGTAAATGAATAATCTTGGATTATATTCAAAGTGCATGTAGTTTAAAAGGCATTGGTATAACCCAAAAAACCATTCGCATATATAAACATAAGGAGAAAGACGTCAACCGGAGACATTATCCTGATTGCTAACACAGGCACAACCAGACAGGATCAGAAAAAAGCTGAAGTGACGGAAAACTGCTCTTACATAGTCTTAACGCAGGACGTGTCCATAACTAGAGCATCAGCTAACATCACACAACAAGAAAACAGATGGGTCTCGTTGACATCGACGAAGAAATAGCGCTCTGACCCTAAAAACCTGGTCCCGGCGAAATCAATCAAGACCAACGACTTTCACCTTGGACATACGAAGGAGCTGGCAGATCACATACTCATATCATTAATCACAGTCCTCTTGCTGTCCTTCTCAAATGGAAAGGTACCACTTGATGGGGAGGATGCAACAGTGGACCCCAGACACAAACCAGAGGCCTATAAATCTTGCAAGCTTCCTGGGCAAACAGTGGAAAGGATGAACAGGAAACCTACCATGGCATTTGAAACGCAACACCTTGTTAACCAAAGTACAGCGCGGCTTCCTAGAAAACGTCCTATTTGTCACAAACTCTCTCAGACCGAGAGAAAGCTGGGCGAGATACACGGGTAATAAATAATACATCGACAATATTTTCACGGATGTAAGCAAAGCTTCAAAAAGATTGGCTGATACAAGATTGCCTTTGAAAGAGGAGATAGTTTTAGTCAAGCGTGGTTTTCTTAAATGAACCAAGGAACCCACTGTAGGTACAGAAATCGAGGCTAGGTCAGGCTCGAAACTCTCTGCCTGTATAGCGGGACGTATTGGTGTGTCACAAGAAACTGTTCTCGAAGTATTTATCCCGCTGACCAGTTAACTGGGCTCACGAAATCTTTATTTTTTCTCCACGCAGATGACTCATAGGATTTAGGAGAGCTAAACGATGAAAGTGACACGCTAATGACACTCATGTATATCAGGAATCTGTCAGGCTGGTCCAAATAATGCATGTTTTCATTCAACATACCAGAATACACAACCATGCACACTGGGCACACAAGCTTTAGAACACGTAACATGGGGTGAACAACACTTCACTTAAGACGCTCATGGACCAACGTGTCGTCGCACGCTATGGCTGAGAGCCATATATCCTTGTGGGTAATACTTAGGACCTGAAGACACCAATGAAGCACTTCTGGGAAGCCAGTTAGCCACGCTACTTAAGTGACAGTGAACTAGCTCCCAGACTGGCTGCGGTTGGAAATAACTCTCATGATTTTCGTAAGGCCATCTATCCTGCTGGACATGCGATTCAGCCGCATAATCTGCTGACACTTAAGCATGGTCCACCTAACTTGGTGGCCAGGAGGAGGATGTCAACTTAAGGCTGTTCATTTGCTAACGTTTGTATGTGGAGAATATAGGAATGTATAGAAAATCAAAACAAGTGATTCAGCGAAGTCACTCTTTTCAACTAATTTATCATCAAGCTGTGTATCTTCTCATTTTTCATCTCTGTGCACAGAAAAAGTCCGTTCAACCCCTCCAACTTTCATGGTCTTAATCCCTCTATGCTAAAGTATGGTAATCTCTAACCATATTTTGGCTCCACCAATTTTTTTCATTTTGTCTATTCAACTTTTATACCCTTCCTTATTACGTCAATTGTTACTATTACTACTCTCACTTTGAAATGTCCCCGGTATTATTTCACTTGTTCCACTTGTCATTCTAAATCAATTGTTTCGCATCATTAAATTCCATGATTTCAAATTTCACACAATATTACGTATTGTTTTTGTTTTATTCGCTTTGTCTACTAATCCTATAATTGCGCACCTTTTTTTTCAAGTTCTATCCATCCTATGAATTATTCTATATATTACATTAATTTGCTTCGCCACCTGACATTTAAATACGACTTTGATCACAAGCATTTAAGTTTTAATTGCACTTCATATTATTATTACTTTATGCATCCACACCTAAGATTCAATTCCCTTACCGGATATAACTTCTTAAAGCCATATATACAACTGTGCAGCTTGATGATAAATTCGTTGAAAAGAGTCTCTTCGCTGAATCACTTGTTTTGATTTTCTATATGTTACAATGGGAATTTTCCACGAGTGAAAGAATATAGGAATGTAAAGTCATATTGCAACGCAGTGATCGCACTTTTCCCCCTTGAAAACGCAAATGTCTGATCCAGCTGGCACAGACAAAAGAAGTGATCGTTGAAAGAGAAACGTCTGAGGCCCACTAGATTTGACAAGTTTCTTTGATACCTTACGCACTACACGAGTTTATGCACATTTCTAGCGAGCTCAACACAAAAGACTTCACTCAAGGAACAAGCGTTTTTATCAAAGGATACTCGCTGTACAAAGAAAGCAAACCACCAGGTTTGACTCTTGGTATGATCAATGCGTTATACGTACACCAATTTAACTGTTTAAGTATTCTTTGCTTCTACATAACGTAGTTAGAGAGGACATCTATTTTTTTTATATTTTTTTATGTTTTTGATATATATTTTATATATATGATCTAACCATGAGATTTGAAATTCTGAGAAATCACTCTGAACCTGATCTATCTCCTCCTGTCCTCTCCTTGTGGTCTGAAAATCTTATATGATATAACAGCATATTTTGAAATCCAAGGGACCAATTTCCAAAAGAAGTGGAGTCAGAATCCTCAGTAGACCAGTCCTAGAAGGCAGTAAACAAGTACTGACAACTACTGAATCACCCTAAGAAAACAATTACTTTACCACCAATGAATGCAGTGTAAGTCATGAGTTATATTAAGGTTAGATTGGGGCTAGGAGATGGTTTACCATTAGTATTTCGGTCTGAGATGAGTGTGCGCGATAGAGCATTAGATAACGCCGAATTGTCCTAATAATTAGTCCAAACATTTTAATATACGGTATATCGACATACCCATGGGATTTTGCACTTTTACATCCAGACTGCCTCCTTAGTGCCACTTTATTGCTGCTATTGTTTATCCTCCCCCATTTTGTTTTTTTGAACCAATTTGTTCAACCACCTGACAGCTCATTTTCAAAAGTTTTAAAGTAGGTGTGTTTTAAAGTTTTTAATCTTAGTTTTCGGGTTAACTTTAACGCATTGCCTTACTGAGACGGTAGCCTCTTTGTCTTGATGATTTTTTGAATTGATTTGTAAACTATTTACCTCCCGTCATTCCCGTTAACAAGCGATTTTAACCCTAGTAAACGAAAATAGAAAATGTATATTAAATTTGCAATGGTGAATATCTAATGTTTCTGCTAGACTGCATCTGCTCAAAAGGCATTTGATCTCTTTATTGTGCAAGAAAGTTTTGCCATAGATGGCCTTTTATACTGTGTTCAAGTAATCGACGTGACTATTTTTTTCCGCATACCTGACTGGTTGGCAGTCATTATATATAAATATTTGTCATCGTTCGGTATGCTGTATCTTCTCTACGAGTATCGACTTTGATTTTATCGACAATAATTTGCTTGAAATCTTCAGCTAATTAAATTTGGCACTACACTAATTTATCTTTTTGAAGCGATAATTTAGGTATTGTAGTGAACTGATTAAGTATGTAGTTAGGCCCTAGCTAAAAGTTACTGAGGTAGGTTTTCTGAATAACCTGATATGAATGGGGAGCTCAGTTTAGTGTTGCAATTTGTACCTCTCAGTTGTTATTCGATTAAGTTATCTTAAACTTCCGTGTATTAATTGTCGTGTTTCACTCCTGAAATTCAGAATCAAAACTATTTTTGTGTGATTGTAGGTTTCCAGGCCATAGGTGTTACGAATTTCCTGGGATAATTTGAGCGGCGAGTCAGATTGATTCATTGTAAATTATTTAAATTAATCCCAGCGTGTTAAGAAAATCAAAACAAGATTTTTCCGAACTTTTCGCCGTGTAAGCCACAGCTTCTTCAGCAGATATAATAAATCGTATTTTTGTTTCAGTTAAAAACTGTTCAAACTGTTAGTTACCTATGGCGTTTTTTATGGTTTTGTATTATGAATATTTTCTTTCATTAATAAGCACGTAGTATACATTTTCCCATGTTCTGTGTTGAAGATTGAATAATGAACGACTTAGTTTTGGAAACGCAGCAAAGCCAACAAAGTGATCCAAATAAAGGTGTAGGAAAGACCCATTACATGATAATCTTTAATGTTTCAAGGTACTGACGTTTATCGAGTCCCTGTATCACGTCATAGATTGATCTTATATCCCGCTCATTATCCAGAGAGCCTTTTGCTGGAATGCTTACATTGCCATTTGTAACATTTCTTAGCACAAACCAAGCAATTAAAATCGGGTTTTGGAACTAATCTGCTACTTGTGTTATACGTCTATCCTACTATGGTGGGTGGCCATCTGACTAAATTATCAAAATGTGAACATGTGGCTCACTTTCTCAGGAGTGGAATGTCTGTCTCTTAATTCACCTTCCAAAAATCTAACAATTGAGAAGTACAATTCACTTGAACACAGAAGGATGGTTCATTTTTTAATGTAAGAGCTTAAACCGCACTAATCAAGCTGTAACTTAAATGAGGACTAATGGATCTAAAACCCTAATAAGCTGCGTTATCCAATAACTTAATTCTGAGTATATATATATATATATATATATACGCCATTCTATGGAATGTATATCATCTCTAATGTGGCAGACATCAGAAATCGGAGCATGTGTGGTGTCATATTCTTGGTTTTGGTTGTACTTTTAGAAAATGGAATCTATAAAAATGATTTTTGTAGTAGCATTCACAGTTAGGATTAGTTTGGAAAAGAGCCTAACCATCGCCTTCCTCGACTGAAAGGCAGTGTTAGCTGACATAAACCAGGTTGGAAAAGAGCCAGTAGTGGTCAAACCAAAACATGGCACCAATCAATGAAATCCACAACAGTTAGTTTAAACCACGTAGGGAGCTGTAGACGTCTTGGTTGGGTTTCTCGGGACGGTGAAAACCAATGAAGGCTGGAGACAACTGGTGATGTGGCTCAAAATCGCTCTCAATAGAGCAGATGCATCCACTCCTTGTCTTATAATACCCAATAAAGCTAAATTGTTCTTCGATATTACTATTCTTTTTGGCTCATATCTCTGTTTACTGTCTCTGTTTTGCATTCCCTTTTACTCTCTTCTCTTGCTTTATGTGCTTGAATTGCTGCACATCTGTGCAGATTTCTACGTTGAAACCAGTCAGTCAACGTTCACCGTTCACGCATATGTTGACTGATGTAATATTCTGATATAGGAGTAAAAGGTGGTTAGACGGGAACACAGCACCAATCTATGAAGTCGTAGGCTGTTCATTTGTGCCATGAAGGTGTAGACTGCATAGGTCGCATACTCAAAACGTTGAAAATCAACGACTGAAGACTACTTGTGACATGATTTAAATTCGTGTTCACTGGTTTTTTCAGCTTATTGAGGCATTGTCATATAAATTTTACAGACACTCATGAATTTTCTTGGATTTTCTCTCTCTTCAGTAAATTTTCATCCACTATATTCTCATTATACTTTTTCCTCTTATTTTGTGTGCTTTTGCAGTGCGGAAACACTTACCCAAGCACTTTGGTGCTCTTATGTCAGTTACTTCCGCGCACAGAATATTCATTATGTTGCTAATATACTATATTGAGTTTATCTTATTCGTCTGTTTTTATAAAGATGAGCTTCACTTTTAACTTTATATATTTTTATACAGTTTACTGAGTGAAGGGATAAAACACAAATTTAATTTTTTCACAGTTGCAGTTCCAGATCTTTCGTAGTATTTGTAGCTTATAGCGAAATTTGCGGTTATCCTCCTGGTTGATTCAATATGCCGCATAAAATTTAACTCGCTTTCAGAGAAGGATTATACGCTAGTGGTAACTTACCCGTTTTTCTCTCCACTATTTAACTTCTTGGGATTGGAGAAACGGTTTTTAGTAAACCAATTATTGCTTAAAAAATACAACGAGTTGACTTTTATCATTACGTTTCCTTTAACTAAGCTAATTCATTTATTCTTTTTCAGTTAGCTCCTCCTGTGCATAATGACGTCAGACGATCCAAAAGTTTTATATCCATTGCATTTCCATGTTTGGAACAATGATTATATGGCCCTAGATGAGCTGCTCCACCAAAAGAAGGTGAGAATGCTTACAAATTATATAACAATAAAATTTTACCTAGCATGATATCGAAAAATTAGATTCTCATGGGAGAACTCCATTAATGTTATGCGTTATGCTTGATCATTTGGAGTCGGCACGAGTCTTGCTTCGTCATGGAGCAAATGCTTGTGTATCTACAAATGAGTTCTGGTCAGGTATTTGTTCTATAAAATTTTTTAATTACCCATTATTTAGCTACTCAAGAAGCTATTGCAACTGGTGATCCTGAGCTCGTCAAGTTAATTTTGGTCCACAGGGATGCTCAAATAGTTCGACATCAAGCTGCGATAGTTACGGATTTGCTTCAGAAACTTCGAGAGACACCTGATTTTTACATTGAGATGAAATGGGAGTTCACTAGTTGGTGTGAGTTAATATATTCCTAACACTCAATAATCCAGCAGCTCTTGAATACATGGTCTACGTTTAGTATTTTTCTAGCTCTGCAACTGATTGCCTTCTCGGTTTAATGTTCTTACACTTTCTTGTGAATATAGTAACTCTCCGCCAGCACGCACCCACCGGGATTTGAACCTAGGACCTTTTGGTTACAAGGTCAGCGAGCTCGTAGACCATTGAGCCACTGGGACATGATAAAATGGCCCATGAATTCTAAATTCTGCCAATTCATCACAAAGAACGACTACTTCGCAATGTCTTTTTCGAGGAGTTACTGTCTCACCTTCAACCTGCTGTTCCATACTGGTCACGGCTCCCCACTGTTGAAGAGTCCCGAAGTGGGATGGAACAGCTATTCAGTACTCCCAGATTGTTTTTCAGTGGCTCTCTAACTGATGTCAGCTGATGGTGAAATCCTCCAACCAATAAAATAAAATTCCTACAAAACCAATACTTGAAAATTAATCCGATGATCACTAGTTACTGGCCCTATTCAGGCGGTCATCTGCGGTTTTAGTGGGAAGCAGTGGCCAGTAGGGTACAACAGGTTGAAGATGAGGCAGCAACTCATTGAAGAAGACATTACGAAGTGGTCGTGCTATGTCATGAATTGGTAGAAGCTAGAATTCATGGGCTGTTTACTGGATCATGTCCCAGTGGCTTAATGGTCTACGAGCTCGCTGACCTTGTAACCACAAGGTCCTAAGTTCGAACCCCGGTGGGTGCGTACTTCTGAAAAGTCCCTAACTGGCACGAAATAGCTGTACAGTAGTATCAGGTTTTTATAAATTGTTATGTTGGTGCCACCCCGTTATCTACCAACTACGAAATAACGTAAAGTTAGTTGTCGATAAGACACGTCAAGGGTTGTTTAAACCTACTTGTTAGTGATAGTTCATCAATACTCCAGTTTCTCTAGAAAATATGTAGTTTCAGGCAATCGAAGTGTTTTTTAGTGCCTTTTGCACTTTCTTACCAGATTAATTAACAACAAAACTATTTTGCACTTACGAATAATACCTTTTAAGTGGACGGAAAACAACCATTACCTATTACTTATACCATAAAACTACCTTTCCCAATAAACAATGTATAGGCGTTTTTAGCATGCTAGGGATAGTAATAGAAAAGTCTATTGATTCTGCGATTAATTGTGCTTCATTTCTTTTTCTAAATTACGTTGTTATATGCAAAATTACTGCAGTTTCTAATAATTTACCCATTATGCACATAAATTTTAATTTTTCCTAGTACCTCTTGTATCACGTATGTGCCCGAGCGATGTTTGTCGTGTTTGGAAATGCGGCCCAAATGTTAGAATCGATACAAATTTACTTGGATTTAATGGTTCAGCCTCATGGGTTCGGGGTCATTTAAGTTATATGTTTAGAGCTGGAGGTATGATATAATTTATTTCTATATGTGTAATGGATTGTTTTATTGAGCTACGCTAAACATTTCTTCAGAAATTGTTTAGCTCATGGAATTACCCCTTTTTTATTGGCTTCAAGTACTTAACTTAGAAGATTTTGACAGCAGCCTACGAAATGAATTCAAAGAATTCTCAATAAAACTGGAACAGAATCGTTAAAGTTTAAACATCCCATAGTGTAGCTGAACCATACTGACAAACTGCAAGACTTGGTTGGTGTTTGCGGGCGACCTCTTGATGTATCAATAATGGTGTTTTCTCTATGACCTATATATTTTTTCTCTGTTTCCTCTTTAAATTATGGCAACTTGAAGTAATACATCCGGGTGCAGCTGTCATCCTTCCTCTCTTTCTGTAATACCATCCCTAGATGAATGAATTAAGAATGTGATTATCAACCTTAGGCCGGAAGAAGCAAATCAAGTAGTAATAACAATAATTATTGTCCTTTGGATTATAGACAGAAATCAAGGTTTTGTAATTTTATTTTGAGAATGAAACATTACTTAATTAGTTTTTTTTCTATTCCTTTACGTTCCCAGTGAGACGTAGGGCTTCAAGCTAAACGCTTGAAGTTTCTGTAGCAGTGGTGTTTATTTTTATGGGATGGGGCTGCTAGCCTCATTCCCAACCTTCCCTCTTTACCAGTCTTATTGTTGGCTTAGCGAGGTAAAGGAGTGCGTCCAGTGGCAGGGGATCGAAACCCGAACCACCTGTGCGGTTGCCGAGCATTCTACCGCTGTGCCACCGACGCACACTTAATGAATTAAACATACTTTACTTTATAAACTGTTCAAGGTAATGTATCACAGGTTGTATTAGTTTTTGAGTTGTATTACGCAGTCGACAAATTACTCTATAGAAAACCAGCTGCTGAACTCTTTGAGGAACAGCGACAATAGAAGATAACCTTCGTTTTCTTACTTAACAGATTCCTTTAAATGATCGTGCAATTCCGTTCTCTATTTAATAATAACCGTTTTGTATGTGTAACAACCGAAGTGATTTATTTGGAACTGATGTTAAGGTTGAAGTCACCTCATGTAAGCCTGATTGTGACACGTTTAGAATTATTTGTTTCAGAAGGTTATATGAAGATTTAAATGAAGAGGCTTCCTAATTAAGTAAATTTTTACGTGATTTAGCCTAGCAAACACGATTCAGCTAGATCGATCTGCGAATTGTGATACGTACCCTTGAAGTGTCACTTTGAATATTATAACTATGGCACAAATGATAAAAGCGGTGCATAGCTAATTGGTTTTGGTTGTCAAACTTAAAGCAGTAATTCCAGGCTGTAGACTTTAACGCGAGTCTTCAGGCTTTAATCACCAGACCTAGGTTTCGTGCTAGTTGGCATTGACTAATCAGCAAGGCGTATCTAGAACCTCAAAGGAACTCATGTCTCTTCTGAGATTCGAACCCACGTCGCCCAGTGCTGCAGTCAGAGACGTTACCACTAAGCTGTTCAGGCTGGCGATTGATCTCTTGTAGGACTGTAGTGGACATTTTGATTTGACACTAGTAACTTGAGTGATGTGTCTAGTCCTCTCTTTGCTGAAGACTGAATTCTATCAGTCAGGTTGTAATGTGGCCATGAGGGACACGAGTTCCTTCAAGGCTGCAGATATGCCTTGCTGACGAGTGCCAACCAGCACGAAACCCAGGTCCAAGGCTTCCTGCCGATTACCTCCAACCATCTAATAACATTGATGTTTAGATGGTTATTAACTTGTATATTTGATTTACTTAAGGTTACTTTCCAAAAGTTTATCCTAATCCTTACCTTATTTTTGTAATATCAACATAGAATCTGGAGCCTATATGGATGAAGTCAATCATACTGATCGAACTATTTATCGACATAACGTTAATCTGTTAAATCGTCCTGATGGAGCTGATGGTGCCAGTGGTGCAGGTGCAACAGCTGGAGCGGCTGCACAGCTTTTTGTTCGTGAACCTTCCGATAGTACTATTGCAAACAAATTAACTCAGCCTATTTTTGTCACATACTTGGATACAGATAAGATAGAATTTGAAAAGTGAGTTTCTTACACTACACATACTACACATACCTTTATTGCCTTATTTGCACTTAAGCGTTTTTTTTCTCTAGTCCTTGAAATTATTGACTTACTAAATATTAAACAACCGAAAAATATCCCAATTTTTTTCATATATATAAATATATATATTATACGGATTCACGCTGCTTTAGTCAATATAATTTCATCACACCAATCAGCAGACGGTAATCGATCTACTTACAGAACCAGTGTAGGCGGATAGTATTTAATGCCAATTAAGTTAAATTTAGAAAAGATACAACAGCTTGTTGTTATTTTTATGCTTCTTTGACTAAACGGATGGCGTAACACTTGTCAAAACGCAGTTATATACATACAGAATGTCTGCATGTAAACCCTACTCTCTGGATTAATCAATCATTATCTCTCTTTTCCTAGACTTTCCATCGTTTATATTTCTCTAACTGCCTGTAATAAAAGCCTTTAAAAAAGACTGCTTCATCAAAATTCGGAGAATTCCTGGTGGTTAGTTATAAGCTTGGAGAATGCGCACTAAAGTATTCACCTAGAAATTCTTGTGTGCTGTATATATTCTGAATAATGTATGACATTATTATTAAAATTCCCTTATGTTCTGAGTGAGTGTAAAGCCTCAGCTTCACATTTCCGTTCCCCTTTGTTGTCTGTAGTGATTTTTAGGTGAATCGACGATTACCCATAAGCTTTTATCACTTCCTCCTACTCCTCCTCTTCATACGATCCCTTCCATGTCCCCGTTGGACGTCCAACTATTCGTTTCCCACTCAGGTTATTCTCCAGGGCCTAGCGCATGACGTGACACAGGGATTTCCTTAACATCTCTCCAATTCATCTACATCTTCTTCTGCAGATGTTTTTGGGTGATAGGTTTCTGGTTGTTTCACTACCAGAGTTCATTGTTCCTAATCCTTTATGGTCATCATCGAACTAGCACAGACAGGTTGCAGGTCGATAAAATTCTCCAGTAGGCTGTTGGAAATGCTTTTCATAACGCGTCAATTCTCGAAATCATATACAGAGTCACAGACGTAGGTGTATCCAAGTTCAAGTTAATTCGATCTATACAGATGCTTTTGGCACTTTTTGTGTATACTAACAATTAAAGTGAAGAAGGCAGAAAGAATTGGAAATTACTCAAAAAACGACTACAATGTAACATATTGTCTTCTACGGAAGATATTGATAAAATAGAATGAATGTTTTCATAATTGTATGTTATGACATTATCAGAAATGCTGATATTAAAAATCTTTTTCATTAACCAACCAAAAAGTATCTAATTCCTTCAATAATATTTCGTTATTCATCCTTTTTCATTATACGCTATATATATTACTATTACGACAGGTATTTTGAAATGTGACTTGTGTTTTAAACTGCTAGAAATCTTAGAGTTAAAACAATAATTTCAAACCACACACAGTATAAGTTCCGTTATAGAGCATTTTCCGAAGATGATTCATTCATGATGTGGATGTGACATTGGTGGTGTGGAGGGCGAGGAGTCAAGAATACTCTGGACGACCAATAAGAAGACTCTAGAAGATCTGGGTTTCACAGACGATATATATATAATGTTACACAAACTCGAAGACTTGCAAGTGAAAACCAACAAACTGGCTGAAGAGACAGGTAGCGAAAACAGGACTGCAGGTGAACACAGAAAAGACGGAGGTGATAAAAATAACCAATCAACAACAACAACAACAACCAGCACAAATTACCATCAATGGGAGAGATTTAACAGAGGTTACTTCCTTCACTTATCTAAGGAGTATCGTTTCAACTACAGGCGGAACGGACTCAGGCAAGATACGCCTTCATCAACCTGAAACCAGTTTGGAAATCTTCCGCACTCAGCCATCATAAGGAACAAGATTCGAATTTTCAACACCAATGTGAAGTCGGTTCTTCTATACGGGTCAGAAACTTGGCATGCTACGAAAAGGATTTCCAACAGGCCACTACTGCAGACTTTCATCAACAGCTGCCACCTTTGCTCCATACTGAAGATCAAATGACCAGAAAGAAAAAGCAACAAGAAACTCTGGCTGGGAACAAACCAATAGGCGAGAGCCGATGGCGCAACAAATATGTAGGAGAAAGTGGAGATTGATTGGGCATACACTGAGGAGGTCGCCGAATGACATCCGACGCCTGGCCCTCGAGTGAAATCCGAGTGAGAAGTGACGAGTGGGTCGTCGCTTTGAGGAAGAGATGGGAGAGATCGGTCAATAGCGGACCCAGATGAAGAGGACGGCAGAAGATAGGATAAAGTGAAGCTGTGTTGTTGAAGCCCTATGATCTACTTGGAACTCCAAGGGAATGATAGTAAATAAATAAAAATGTGACATTGGTTTATTTTGCTTTCTATTAAAAAACCCTTAGTAAGGCATATTTCTAAATGCTAAGTATATGTCCTTACCCTATGAAGTATTTATCTGGATTACTTTTGCATCATAACTGTAGAGTGATAAGTAGAACATTTTAAGAACTTCTGGGTACACGCGACACTCAATCGTCTTTAAATTCACTAATATGTTGAGTGTAAACACCAGTGTTAACCAAACAAGGGGACGATTATATATGTAGAAATTAACCTACAAGTAATAAGAAGTATGTGTTGAGCTATCTAGCCAGCTATCTGGTTAGCAGGTAAACGAAGTTCTCTAGTCTAATGGTTTAAAAAATAAGCATTATGAATTTGTACTTTGTTTGTACGTCAATCCCTTATTATTAATACATCAGTTGGAGTTAAATTGAAACTAATTATTTCAGAAGCTTAATGAGTACACTATTGTTTATATTTCAATAATCCATAATAGTGTAATTATATGAGGATTCCATTTGTAGTCTGCACGAAAGGCTTTTTTTCTCACTGTTTAACAAAACACTATTCCAGTTCAAATAAAGATTATACATATATACGAGTTCTGTTGCTTCCTCTTTGCTTTTGTTTTTGTTTTTTTATCACTTCATAAATGTTCAAGTGTTCGTGTAAACAGAATGGAATGTAGTTAGTAGTGGTAGTAGTAATAGTAGTCGTAGGCGGGAATTTTTTCATCTATCTGTGTTATTCAAAAGTTCAAAATTTGTCTTTTTGATGAGATAGACTATTTGGGATAGAAGCTTGAGTCAGAAAAATTAAAGGTATATGATTATTACTCCCTTGAGCTCCGAGTAGAACATAGGGCTTTAACAATACATCTCTACTTTCTCCTTTTTTTTCCTGTCCTCTTCACCTGGGTTCACGACTGACCATAGTCTCTCACCTTCTCCTCACACGATATCCTTCAAATCACCTTCAGATGACCTATTCATCGTTTCCCATTCGGATTCCACTCGAGTAATAGCCTGGCCCGCTATGTCATTCGACGGTCTCCTCAATGTATGCCAAATCCATTTTCATTTTCTCCTACATATCTGTTAAGCGATTGGCTCTTGATTGGTTTGTTCCAAGACAGAGTTTTTTGTTGCTAATTCTTTCTGACCAACTGCCCGTTTAATAGTCAATATAGTGCCAGCGAAGTCGGCTGTTGATAAAAGCCTGGATTGGACTGTTAGCAATTCTTTGTCTTGATAGGTTGGCCAAGTTTTTGCTCCATATAGAGTCACTAACTGACTTGACATTAGTGTTGAATATCCAAATCTTGTTTCTTATGCTGAGACAGAAGGCGTATCTTGCCTTCAAAGGTATTATTTTAATAACTAAGTAATTCCGTTATACCATTAGTCTGAAAATCTTATCATGAACCAAATCTCTAATTTACGCATTCCGATTTGTTTTACTATTTGTTCTTTTCCGTTCACAATATTTTTACTAGCCAAATTTTTATTTATTTATTATATGTATGGTGGTAAACCGAGTGTAAACGTGATATTAATTAGGTAAACAATGTTTTTCCTCTTTTCCACATGTTTTCTTCCTACACACAAAAAATATTTTGCATTCATTGCTGTACACATGATGTATACATCATGATCTACATTTAGAAGTAAATCAGGTATTTTGGGCTGGCGATCAGATCGTAAAGAAACTATCAATAATCATGCTTGTCAGGTAAGCTAAGCAAAAGCAGACACTAAGTGTCTGTTGTATTGTTTATCTGCTTTTCATTTATCATTCCCCTCCTCATCCTTACAAAAAATAAAGTGGGTAATTGATTGGTTGATTGGTGTAATCAAGTGTTTGCCTACAAAATGTAAAATGCAGGTGTCTTTAACATTCTATCACTATGAAATTGCTTTAAAAAAGGGAATGTTATATCTTCGAGTTTGTAAACAAAAAATCAATCTCAGGGATGGATACAACTGACTAGCTGACTGAGTTTCAACGTAGAAATTCGCACAAAAGTGCAGCAGATCAACTTGGCACTCGTCGTCAAGGCGTATCTAGAATCTTGAAGGAACTCACGTCCCACCTAGCATGGTGGCCACATTGCGAACTCAGCTGATACAGTTCAGTCTTCAGTACACAAAAGATTAGGCTCATGACACTAGTTAATGTCTGATAAAAGTATCTAATATATTCCTACAGATGACCAATCGCGAGTCCGAATAGCTCAGTTGTACAGTCTCTGACTGCAGCAGTGGGTGACACAGGTTCGAATCTCAGAGGGGAGATGAGTTCCTTCAAGATTGCAGATACCCCTTGCTGACGATTGTCAACAAGCACAAAACTTAGGTCGGGGGTTCCTGCCGATCACCTGCAACCTTCTAATATACACAGTAATTACATGAAATGGCATGACGACTTATTTGCGCTGGGAGATTGCAAAGAGCGAATGCATCCGAGTTATTGAGAACAGTTTTGAGCCATAACGCTGAGTGTCGAGCCATTAGTTTGTAGCATTCCAAAGACCCTACCAAGGCATTTTACGCCTTCCTACATGCCTCAGACTATCAACTAGACTTCATGGATTGATCACCACTAACTCTTTTCCGAAGTAATCTAGTGCCAGATCCTTTGGCCGATAGCTGTATATCCTGTCTACACCAGAGACGACGCAACTTGACAGATGCCATACAAGTTTTTATTGTATCCGTGTTGAGACTTCGTCACGAATCAATCTATTAGGGATGGTGTAGACTCCCGAGTAAGTCAAGTGGTCAACACACGCAGTTACTTCAATCTACATCTTTAAAAGTGATGAATTTAAGAAAATGGGGGAAGAAAATGAACGTATAACGTTGCACATGGGTGCATCAGTTCTAGTCGACAGAATTTCCAGGATGATAAAAGGTGAATACCATTCCATCATGCATCTCTAACTGCTCACTTTCAACATATCTGTATACTGTTAAGACCAAAAATCAAGGCTTCTATAGACTGGTGCTGTATTTTGGTTATCCATTAATCTGAGAACTAGATGATCAGCATTAGTTAGGTAATCAATAGTCTGGTTGGATCATAATCCACTTATTATAAAAGGTGTTTTCATGGTTAATAGGATTATGGATAGTAGATATTCACAGTATTTTCACTATTATTCGTTGGACAATTTGTTTTGCATAAGATCTTAAGCGAAGTGATCATCACAATGATTTTGAACTGGTAATGTTTCATATACCTACGAATATAGTCAAAATAGAGTCTCGGACTGTTGTTTAGTGTTACTTGCCGTCACACCATATATCCGCACATCAAAAGGAATAAAATAGAAGTAACGACGAGGAAACCAAACGTAGAATATTATAAGATCAGAAAGTGGAGAAAAGAATGAGATATGACATAATGACTCTGGCGAACAAACTTTGTCGGTGACGTTGATATCAGTTCTAGTCCGAATCATCTTGAACTTCTAAGTAGGAGGCTTTCTGGAAGCTGGCCGCTCAAGGGAAGTTAATAAAAGGTTTCTTTTCTCAGTGACACTGCTCATTGCTTCGGCCACTCTCTCCCCACCTAGTCTTGCTTTTATCAACATAGCCTATTGAGATGGAAGTCACCTAGTCTTTAATGATGCGTGTTATAGCCACAAATTCATTGATTACTTAGCTTAGTTGTCTAAAGGTTTTGCAGTTAACGCCAGTATTGTGTACACTGTGATATTACCTAACGCAGAGGGGATTATGAAGGCATGTGTCGCTAAATATTTGTAGGCTAAACATTCATTTTATCGTTATTGGCATGTTTCACAGGTAAACGTACAGAGTCTTTGAGTTAGAAATAAGATATTGCGTCAATGATGTAGGTAGAGTTATTTGGCTAAAATCACGCCAGTGTACTGCAACCGTACCACCAACCTGTTATGGCTTATGTGATTCTCCAACTAAGTGAAGTGGTTCACATACCAAACTATCTGTTATCACATATGGAGAATATAATGTTTTAAATAAGTAGCCTTTTCACTACTCGTTTGATGTTTATTCAGTTGTCCTACATGTTTCACTTGTTGATAAATCCATAGTTCCAACTCACTTGTAAAGGGTGTCACGTCAATTTTAATTATAATTCTCAACGAAGCCTACTTTAGATAACCTTAATAATAATAATAATAATAATAACTGAATTAACTGATATAGGGATAATAGAGAAAATTTTTAGCTCAGGTGGATGATTTGCAATTAGTAGTGTTCTCTGACCTGGTCGGTTTAGTTGCGGGTTAGATGATTTCAAGTGTGTGTTTTTGGTGTTGTTTTATTCACTGAGTCGGACAGTTTAACTGAGAAACTCTTAATTGTCCTTCTTGGCAACACTAACTTCATTTTCAAGTTAGCAGTGAAAATGTTGTGTGGAAAAAAAGGCTTTGCAACTAAACTATCCTTCGGTTCAAAGAAGTCATTGTTTCTTGATGGTTCTGGGGGAAATTATCATTTTAGCAAAGCAGAAAAAAGCAACGATCTGTGCAGAATAAGATAGTGCCGTCAATTTATGTCGTCGGCCTTTCATCATCTGCGTACAGCCCAAAGAAAAATTAATGAAGTTTGCAGAACAACCTTAAGGTACTTACAAATATGACATGATGTCAGTTAGTAGGAGACTCTAAAATTTTGCAGTTGTCAGATATATACATAGAAGGTTCAAGTCTAACGAAAACAAAACCAAAAAGAAACAACAAAATAATTTTTCCGTTACTATAAGAGGAGAGTTACGTAATACGATCACTAGGTGGATAAGATAATAAGCAACTAATCAGTTGCATAACATTATGGTGATTTCAGCTCGAATCAAAATTACTTTACAGCAAAAAGTGAAGAGGTTAAAGGCAAAGATTGCGTAATCAAATCAAAGGGAGAGTAAAGACATCGAGTTATCAGGGCAAGGAATGACTGATAACTGCTTTTTTCTGGATACATAAGTCGGGTTTCATGCATTTGATAGCAAATGCTTTGGCAAACTTGATGAGAACTGAACTACTTTGCCGATTGATAATTGTAATGCATGTTAAGGCGTCCACCTTATGAACTGTATCAACGGGGTGCCTAGTTCTAGCTTTGTATACAAATTTGCAAGCTTACGTGTTAGCATTTATATCGAGAGAACACAAGGAAGGTCAGACTTTCGATTTTGCGAACATTTACCAAAAATCCTACGTCTCAAAGGAGGGGACCCCTTGAATATTGCTTATTACTCGACGTCTTCAGTACTTGAAAGGGGTTCTGAGTTTATGGGATTTTTTTTAAAGAAGTGAGAAATAAATATATCTTACGTTTTGACCAATGCGACAAAACTGTTCATCAATTTTTAAATATAGGTGACGATGGAAATGGTTTTCTATTCCCCGTGGTTTACTTTTGATGTACATTTGAAACATAATTGATAAAAACTTCGTTATGAAAAGTATTACTGTGACTGGCATTTCACTACCATATCCAGAAGTTATTCGATGAATGGTGATTAGCAATGGAGTCCAGGATGTGCATTTTGCCTTATTCAAAACTCGTCGACTGGATGCACCTGTGTTTCCCAAGCGAGCGATGGTATTCCCATTCAGACTCTAACCTAAACCTTAAACGATGTGCGAAATTTTGTCTACTTTATACCCTCTTTTTTAGCACCATCATTTTAAAAGGATTCTATGCTTTAATTTACAGAATTTATAAGGCTAATTTATTATTTGTCTTAAGGAAGTGTTTATCCTTTGGATTTATTCTGCTTAAGGTTTATTGTGCATCAAATGTTCAAATCATCACACTTCGCCGTACTGAACACTTAACTGAAGAGAATTTACGTGACCTGAATCAACAACATCATTCCAATGACAGTGATAATGGTAGTGGTGGTGGTGGTGGTCTCATTGGAGCTCCTGCCAGTGATATTGTATTCCCAGGCGGTAGAGGTAATCTACTCACAAATTTATTACAAACTGCAGCATCTGAAACTGAGAAAAAGTCAGAATTAGCTGTTACACATGTGAGTTTACTACTTATTCACTTCTCACAATTATCTATTCAGTATAATAATTGTCATTGCTTTTTTATGCTTTTAATACACACACTAAAATGATTTAACATGTAATAGTTTAATTACTGTTATACGACTATAATTGCTATGCCACTTGTTAACAATATTCTCATGTTCGTATTTGTTTTATTGTTTTTGTTTTTAAAGTGTAATATAGCATACAATATACGCATTTTTGTTATTGTATGTAAAAATATATTTGAAGTTCATACGCTGTGGTGTATTGTATCACTCACCAGTGGTAAATCCAAAAAAAGCAAAACAACAACAAAAAACAATACTGTATTAGAAATTTTATTATTATTGATACGCTGACTTTCCATTAGAAGACTTTTGTTAGTATGACTTCAATTCAATAATGACTCATGCAGTTATGAGAAAATAAGTGCCGTTGATATATTGAAGTATATCCCAATTTGTATTTACTGTTTTTAAAAGAATGGCTACTGAACAAAGAATATTCTTTTCAATAATCTGATCTTCATCGGGTTGTACAGTTATATATACATAACAGTCAATGAATTAGTGTTACTAACATTATTAATGTTGTTAAGATAACATCGAATCAATAACAATAATAATCATGATATCAGTGGATTACAGTTCGATAGCATCAACATAACAATACACTGAATGAATATCAGAGAAATTAGGAAAAAAAATAATAATAATATAAATTAATGAATTTATAGTCTCCACTGAAGGCCGGCCAGGGCAGTAGCAGTTCTGGCTGGATTTGCTTCTTCTGCGCACGAAGCACTAGTTATCTCAGGCGAATCTCGATAGCCTCTGCTGTTTTAAATATGTGGTACCTTGATGTTTTTCTCAATTTATTTGCTACCCGATAAATGATAGAGAAGGATTCTTCAGTACTGTCCTTGTGACCGGTTCGGCCCAGGTGTTCTAATATGGAGCTTTTGATGCTTCTCACTACACTTTTATTTAACCACACTGGTAGATGTTCCCGAGCGAGTACGAAAAATCAACTTCCTAGAGCAACAGCCAATATAACTCGCTTCACCACAATCGTAGTTGAATTGATAGGTACAATTAGAGGTGGCTAGTCTAGTTGAGGTACTTCATCTTTCAATCGAAGAATCACCATCGGTTTTGTTGAAAATACGACTTGCAGTTTGTCAGAATTGAAAGTTTTCTGAACTGATTTCCTTAACGTCTTCATAATTATTTTGCTGGGTATGTTGCACTTCAGTTGCAGTCGTATGTATAAAGGCTTATTGTTTGCGGAAGCCTTTACTGGAGACTATGAATTCATTAATTTGTGTTATTATTATTTTTTCTAATTTCTCTGATATTCATTGAGTGTAACGTTAAGTTGATGCTGTCGAACTGTAATCCATTGACATCATTATTGTTATTGATTCGATGTTATTTAAACAACACTAATGTTGTTAATAACACTAATTTATTGACCATTATGTATATATAACTGTAAAACCTGATGAAGAACGAGTTATCGAAAAGGATATTCTTTGTTCAGTAACTATTCTTTTGAAAATTTACTGTTTTTAATTGGTGGGTCGTGACTAGCAGTGGAATCCAGGATGCACATTTCGTCCCATTTGGGACTCGTCCCTGGATGTGCCTGCATTTCTCAGTGAGTGACGATGTTCCCACTGAGGCTCGAACCCAGTACCCATAGTTTCAAATGCCAAAGCGTTATCCACTAGACCACTTGGGTCACGAGAGCCACCTCTTCTGCAACAGGTCATATTAATGATATTGAATATAATAATAATTGAATTTGAGATTTCCGTCGATTGATTGGACCGAAGTGCTCGGTCTCAGGTTGACATGTCGGCTTCTTGTGCTTCAATGGGAACATCATCACTCACTGAGAATTACAGATACATCCAGATGGCGAGTCCCAAATAGGACGAAATGCACATCCTGGATTCCACTGCTAGTCACCACCCACCAATTAAATACTAACTAAATGCCCAGACATTGTCGAAGCATCTGCACAAGAAACCGACATGTCAACCTGAGATCGAGCACTTCGGTCCAATCAATCGACGGGAAAATCTCAAATTCAATAAAATTTATTATTTTGTTGACAATTTTTCTTTTATTCATTCATGAACAAAACAAAATTATCGAATGACAATTTAATAGTTGGTAATGATAGTCAAAGGTACGTAGGTTGTTTTCAAGGTAGTTATCAGCTGGAGTATTGAACCCGCCATATTATACTGCTGCAGACTGATCACTTTTTTACTATAATGATGTGGAAAGTAAATGGTGATTCGTATTGCAATGCATATATATATGTAGATGAAAGTCTCGGCGGGCAGTAACTATATTTCATCTGGATATAAACATTAAAGTGTCTATAGTTTACTAAATCAATTTCCTTTGCAGAATTTAATATTTGTACAATATATTGTTCAGTTTGTGCGTCGGTGACACAGTGGTAGAATGCTCGCCAACCACTTATATGATTCGAGGTTCAATGCCCAGTCGGCTCATTGCTGAACCTTGCTTAACAGGTAGTAAGCACAATAAAGAGGAAGGTTGGGCATGAGGTTGGCAACCCCACTCCGTAGAAAATAAACACTACCGTTATTTAAAATCCGAAACCCTATGTTCCACTCGAAATTTTAAGGAATAGATTTAAAAAAATAATATTTGGTCAGTTTGCATTGAACTTTGCTCTGAATAGGTTGTCTACAAAGATAATGATAGCTTTGCAGTTAAACTGTCTAGCCATGAGAACACATTAACACATTATCCTTTTGAACTATGGGCTAGTATAGTATATGGTTTTAACCTATAAATGATTATTTTTATTCAACTGTTGGTTTGTAGGGATTTGATTGGTTTCAGGATTTCATCATGGGCTGACAATAGTTAGAGAACCACTGGAAGACCTGGGAGTACTGGATAGTCATTTCTTCCTAGTTTGTGAGTCTTCAGCAGTACGCACCTACTGGGATTCGAACCCAGGACCTTCTGGTTACAAGGAGAGCTCGTATACCATTAAGCCACTGGGACCCGATCCAATCACCAATCCATGAATTCTAACTTCTGCCAATTCACGACATAACGCAACCGCTAGCCAATGTGTTCGACGAGTATTTGTCCTCACACCCGATCCGCTGCACCCTACTGGTCACGACTTTTCACTAGAACCCCAGGTAACTACCTATCTGAATAGGGCAAGTCGCTAGTAAGCATCTCATTGTAACCAGAACGTCCTGGGTTCGAATCGCAGCGAGTGAGTGCTGATGAAGAGTCCCAAACTAGGACGAAACAGCAGGCCAGTACTCCCAGGTTTTCCGATGGTTCTCTAACTAATGCCAGCTCATGATGAAATCCTGAAATGATTATTTTGTTGGTAATCCATTGTAAGCAAAGACAATGATTATTGCATTCACAAAGTTTAAACTCGGTGTGATTTCTATTAAGGCAAAAGCGACACTGTGATGTACCCATCACCCTATTTGTCCTCTTTTAAGTTTCTATATATCCACCGCTTTGCCTTCGATGTTTCCTTAAGTATAATCTTCCTATTAATGAATAATTTATTTTTTAATTGCGTGCATACCTAGCAATATTGTTTTTTGCTTAAGTAGTTTACCAATATAGGTGAATATCCATTAAATGCGTCTTTTGTCTGCAAAACTACCTTGTCCCTTATCTTATAGTCGTTCCATATGCTTTGACTTTGTAATAAAATTGTGTTTTAACAAAGTATTTCCGTTTTCGTGATATATTTCATCGTGTAAACTATGGCTATCTTAGAAGAGGAAGAATTAAAATTTTCAACTAAAGTACGCTATGCATCATTCACTTATTAAAACTTTACTTCATTTAAAAAATTTAGCTAATAGCTAGCAGTGAAATCCAAGACACAACTTTCTTCCTATTTGAGATTCGTCGATTGGATTGTATATGCATTCTCATTCATAACAATAATTTCGCGTTACTTCAGATGTGTTTTTCCTTGTTTGACTTCGTAATAGCTAGTTACTGCTTGCAGATTTTGTAGGTTATCCCTGTATATTAATGTCTCCGCTGAACCAAGTATCGGATTTCCTGAGATTTTCTCGATTGTCTGAAATAATTTGAACAAAACGCATGATTTTGTGGTAAGAGATTTGTGACATAAAGTAGCCTCATTGAACAACCTGTTTAACCTTAGGCCGATCGCCGACCAATGCATCAGAATAACCCATTCTCCTCCGACGTTGCTAAACTTTATTCTGATGAAATATGTGTAATTATCATGCGTTTCTCCTTAATCAAGGCCCGTTACAAAATCCATTATCGTCTCTTGTTGCAATATAACATGTGAGTAACAACTCTTATGAAAAATTATCAGTTTAGATCGACCAAAACTGCGAACTTTAATCATATGAATTATCAAAGTTGAAAAGGGCAACAACATTCTTAAACATAATAAAGAAATTTAATGTATACAACCATTGAAACGAAAAACAAATATTGTTTATCGATCAGTCCTGGGAAATTAACAGAATGATTGAATAAACGATTTCTTACATATATATATGACGACTGACGACTACACAAGGCAAAAAATTAGTCTACAAAACTATTTCAGACCAACATATTTTCAGGATTGGAAAGAGCTCAATTTTCTTTGTATTTCACAAATTTACATCAGTTGCTAACAGTCTGAAAATGGTATAGATTATAATGAAGCCAATATTATATATAGCACACTTCGAAATTACTTCAATTACTCAAAGGGCATAGTTTTAGAAGAAGAGATATGAATAAAAGCTAGTGGTTAATACTCTGTCGACCAGAGTAAATTTATGCATAATCTGATGGAAGGTTTAAGTAAATCTTAAGATTAATAATGAGTTGAGCTCAGTGAGTTGTAATCTACTAGATTTTCCAAGCAATTCCACAGCTAGTGCAAATGCAATCGCTAAGACGCCGATTGACATGCATCGTTCAGTTAA